CATTTCATGATCAATTTTCTACTATCGAAAATAATCAGATAATTATCTCAGACAAGATAAAAAATAAATCGACGGATAATCAAAATATTCAAACTATCTTAATGATGAATCTAATTTTAGAAAATATTAATATGCACAGTAGTAAGCTGCGAGAAATAATTAGCCACATACAAAACGCAATAAGCTTTACACGCGTAGGCATAATGCACTATACAATTCTGCAGCATCATGAGTTAAATTTGATCTTGAAAAATATACCCGAGAGAGAACAAATACCCTTTGATAACGTAATTAAATACTATGAGACAATGTCCTCTCATGTAATTATTCAAAAGGAATTAATTATTTTTACTATATTCACACCAATAATTAATCCTAAACCTTTTATATTGTATAAATTATATCCTATACCCATCCAAAATTATACAATTAGTGTTAAGTATCCTTACCTTTTACTTACCACAGACACGTATTACAACGCTTTACAAAAATGTCCAAATGTTGAAGACATTTATTTGTGCAAAATGGAACTATTGAAACAAGATGAGCCCTGTGTTCACGACATTGTATCTAGTGAACAACAATTATGCCCATTCACGAAAATTCAATATGAAGAATCGACAATTGAAGAAATACCCAATAATCAAATATTGGTTATTCCAAAACGACATGTGACAGCAATGCTGCAATGTGACCAGAAGAATTACATGGAAATCATTTCCAGTCCAATCGTAATTTCCAAAGGTAAATGTTCAATAACAATTAATAATCGAACATTTTTGGAAGACACGCATGAGAACTTCAACCTAGAACTAGAACTACCCATCATAGACATTCCTGAACTTCTAGACTTTCTAGAGAATACCACAACTGTAAGACTAAAAACAGTCGACCACGAAGCTCTTCAATCAGCGATTAAAGAAGCAAACAATTTAAAGACTGACCCATTAAAAGTGTTAGATTTTAAAATCAATAATGTGTCAACCTATATTATAATCATAGTATTAAGTTCTATTTGCATAACCATTATTCTTATTCTATATTTTAGAGGAAAAGGTAATAAAACCCAAACTGAGGTGCAGATTGAATTGCCCAACATTGTTAGTCAATCCCAATTTGCAACCACTTAAGGAGGGAGGAGTTATATTGTAAGACCCTATGTTATCTTTATACTAATAATTCTCCTTTCCAATGTTATTTATAAGCGTACGCTTATGTCAATACTAATAAATATATAAAACTGCTTAATTAGCGGTACTGCACTGGTAGTACCACCACCTGCATAGGAAAATGCTTGGATCAGCAAATATTTATTATTTAAGCCAGAGCTTTCCAGTAAGGAGCTTTCATTTGTTTTCAGGCACTCCCTGTAGCAATTTGATCCACATATTTTCCGATTGTCACTATTGTATTTTAATTAATAAAATAAATGTTTTTCAAAAATACAAGTTTCTGAATCGAAAATATAATTCGCCTATGGATTCCCACGTGACTTCGAAGAGATCAACTGAGCCGCCTTTTTTATGAAGTTTCAATAAATAATGGTTAAACTATAAGAGGCAAAACAACTCTTCCACTAGAACCAGGGTAAAGCTAAATCAGACCTTTGGCGCTTCTGGAAAAAAGCATTCAAATCTGCTGAACATAAAGGGTCTTCAAAAAAAAAACAATCAAAGAGTCTTTGATTACGAAAACGTACGTCGCATTATTGTTTATTTATTGGTCAGGATTTTTGACATATGTTTGAAATAACCATAGCAATCTTTAATTGTTTGTTTTTTTTTTCAGACCCGATATTTTCTGCAAATGCGAAGCATTATGTCACAGAAGACTTTTTCATTTGCGGTAGACATATACATATGACTGCTGCGTATGTTAAAACAACCAATCCCAGGAAAATTGAAGGATTCACGAAGAGTCTAAACCTGGGAACCTACTAGACAAGGGGAAGCACAATAGACCTATTTAGGTCGCAGTATAGAGGTCCATTATCTAATCTTACATAATCTAATCTACTTTAGCTGTTTCGAAAGAGATAAATTTTCAATAACTGCCATAAAACCACTACATATAAGAAAGGCAAGGCAACAAAATTATAGATATTTTCAGAGGAGTCATCATGGTAACGATACGGTAGATAATTGGTCTGGTACAGCACAGCCGCGGTGGGGATAAGGCTGGCTGTTTTAAAAAGATGTAATAATTACATCATCAATTATTGATATTCTGCTGGATCCTTCTAACCACATTTATAATAAGGGGGAAATTCCTCATTTCACCTCATTCACATTTTTTTTTCATATATAATTATCACAAGAGAAAAAATTTTGTCGGCAAAATTTTCGAAAGGTATGAAAGTTTGTTGCTTGGCAATTTCGCGAATGAGATTTTTGACAAAATCACGAGCCGACAGGCGAGTGATTTTATCAAAAATGTCATGAGCGAAATTGTCGAAAAGCAACAAACTTGAATAAAACTTTGAGAACAATTTTGCCTACACAATTTTTTCTCGAGTGGTATTCGTCATGACTATTTCACGTAAGATTTTGAAATTAAATAGAATGCAAAAAAATCAGTTTGACAATGTCAAAAAATAGTCGCTGAAATACCATGTTGTTGGTATTAGACTGTGAGATAGGGGCTGTTTAGTGGAGTCATTTTCTTTTGTCTGGCATTTTGAGGGTTGAATTTGGCTACTAAGCTGATGAGAATATGGGTGATTTTAATGCCGGCCTCCTGTTCGAAAATTTTCAGAAGAAAAAAATTGATTTACATGAAGATTTTTTTTTTTAATGATCTCAAATTTTCTGGCTTTTAAATAAAAGATTGACATTGATAAATAAATCACCCATGAAAAATATCAGATGCTTTTCAATAGCTGAAAAAATGGGGATGGGTGTTAACTTCCAAGAGAAAAGAAAAGAACCTTCCGCGTTTACTTTTTGTCTGGCAATCGAGAGAATGAAAGGTTTTGTTGTAAAAATAACGCTGAAAAATCGCCAGACGGTAATCACAGTTCGAAATCGAGTTTTCCGCCGAAACATGAGGCAGGCATTAAAACCACTTATATTCTCATCAGCTAACTAGCCACATTCGTCCCTCAAAATGCCAGACAAAAAAAAAAAAAAATGACTCCACTAAACAGGCCCTATCTCAGGGTCTATATTGTCCAGGTAGCAATATTGTCAGCTGAATACCGAATTTATTGCCGGTGTAATACACTCTAGTGAAATAGTCGAGATTATTTCACTTCAGCTTTTCAGCTCAGTTGCGCAACAAGACATTTCTCCTACTTCGAATGGTGTATTTTCAAATAACAGAAACATGATATGCTAACAGCAAGATGGTGTTATTCCATTATTCTCAAATGCACCGCAATTACCTCAGTCAAGTTTCTCCTCATGGGTGAATTGAAAATAGGGGTGTAATCGAATGGCCAGGAAGCTTCCCTGATCTAAACTCTTCGGACTATTTTCGATGGGGTAACCCTTAAGCATGTAATCACAAAGTTTGGAACATTTCGCCAACGCATTACATAAGTATGAAATATCAAATATCTTCACAAATGTAATGTGTATTGAAATTTATTTTCTATTGGGATCATTTAGAACAGTAGTTAGAACAGTAGATCGAAATTTTCTATAAGGGTCAAATTTGATGGTGATTCGTAAAAATAAGCAAATTGAAATTTGACAAACAATGACCCTTTCAGCGGCAATCAAGTTTTATTAATGAATCAGCGTTACATGAAATTAAACAAATATCACCAGAAATGTATGGTAATATGATGAATAAATTATGAATTTTATTTCCGATTAAGAAATTGTCAGATGGAAAACGGTAAATCATTTTTGGGAAGAACTAAGATTTCAAAAATGTAGCTATTTTACTTTTTAGCATTTTCGTCTTAAACACTAAGCGCAGAAATGGCTTAATGTTACAAGTATTATATTTTACTTAGTTTATGCAGAGAAGAAAAATAGTTTAGAATGACGAATCAGTTTTTCATAAAATTAAACGCAATGTGCTGATAGAAAATTTAATAGTAGATTATACCACGAGTCAATAATGATAGCTATTATTCCCGAGGATTATTACGAACTGAGCCGCGTTAGCGGCGAGGGAGTAACATTCCGAGGGAATAATAGCCATTATTGCGAGTAGTATACTCTACTTTATTTACGACAAATTAATTTATTTGAGATTATCAATGAACAAATTTCATCCGTCTCATCATTTTCAATACAAATCCACAAGCACTACACGTTTGACACTGACACTTTTGTGGAATAATGACCATTAATCCCGCTACTCGTCATTAATCCCTGGAGGAATAACATATGTCATTATACTGCCAAAATCACAAATATAATACGCACATTATACATTAGTCGTAAATAAATTATTTTACTTGAATAATTTTTTCAAGGGATTGGTGGAATTTAATTAGGTGAAACAGCAAAATTATTTGAAAAATAGCGGAAAAGTTACTTTAGAATAAGCGCTACTAATGCGAAATTCTCAAATATAGAATTTGCAAAGTAGCAAAACTTTCAAATAAACTCTTATTAATAATATTTATTTACGACTAATGTATAATGTGCGTATTATATTTGTGATTTTGGCAGTATAATGACATATGTTATTCCTCCAGGGATTAATGACGAGTAGCGGGATTAATGGTCATTATTCCACAAAAGTGTCAGTGTCAAACGTGCAGTGCTTGTGGATTTGTATTGAAAATTATGAGACGGATGAAATTTGTTCATTGAAAATCTCAAATAAATTAATTTGTCGTAAATAAAGTAGAGTATACTACTCGCAATAATGGCTATTATTCCCTCGGAATGTTACTCCCTCGCCGCTAACGCGGCTCAGTTCGTAATAATCCTCGGGAATAATAGCTATCATTATTGTCTCATGGTATAATCTACTATTTAAAATCTTGACTTAACAGGTTTTAAAAAAAATAGAATAAAAAATAGATCTATTTCACTTACCTGTTGAATTTTCGAAAAGTTGAAAAAGTTGACGCTCTCAAACTTCTTTCGAAGCCGCAGAAAGTACTTGGGTTGAATTAAAAAAAAAAAACAAATTAAGAATATAATTATAACCCGAAATTATTAGAGTTCATTTGGCAAAATAAAACGGCTGATAACGTACGTTTTAATAATTATACACGCACTGAAAGTATAATAGCAACTCGTAAAGTAGGTAAGTGTGTGTAGATATTTTGTGCTTTTCGCAGGTGAAGCTGCGGCGCTTTACTAACGGAGCGCCGAAACTTTTCCCGGCTTTAAAGTTGGGAAGTTTTCGCCAATGGGGAGGCGGCAAAACGTTGCCGGCCAATCAGAAAATTGTCCACCGATATCGAGTAGGACGATGAACATTGAATGTGTAGGAAGAAAATTGCTACGTTTTTAACTTATAGAGTTAGACTTGGCGATTTTTCTAATTTTTTTTTTCTGAAATTATTAGTTAGCATAGCCAAAATGCCATTATCCAAAAATGAAATTCTCGCATAATTTTTAAGTACCTAATAATAAACAACACCGTCACGCGCCTCTGTTGCCTTCGGTAACTTCAAATAATTTCTTAGATTTTTTATAGAAAAGTAGGTATAGATGATATCTCCGATTTTTTTTCAAAGTATAATCCGGTTGCAAACCTTAACTGAAACAAGATAGATACATACTTCTAAAAACAAATTGGGCTTTAATCTGTTGTATAATGGGTCTTTCCCACTCAACTGAATTTAAGTATTTCATCCATATGGTTTGAAAGTTTATCCGATAAAATACCTGGACTGAGGACTGTGTGGTTGATTTAAAAAAAAAATTATTGAAGGAGATATTAAAGGGGAAAATATGGCAATATTTGAGATAGTCCGCCAGATTTTGCACCAACCAGAATGCGCTTAGTTTTCCTATCTACCGGCCGAAGCTGTTCCCTATCGAATTTTCTTCTCTCTAGTTGAATGAAGAGGATAGAAAAGGACAAAAAATATCGACATGAATGCGGTTTATCGATGCCTATTCCAGCGATTATTTTTCAGCTTTATCTTTTACGCTTTATTAGACAAAGACATGACAGATGACTTGTGTGCTTTGTAATGAATTCTAACCTACAACATACACATTTACCTTTCGCACAGCTTTTGTTTACCTGTGCAGATTTTACCTTTAATTTCCCAAAATCTGGTACTGAAAGGGCCTCGAAAAAGAGTACTTTTTGTAAATGAAACATTTTCGATTTATGCTGTTTATTGTACTCTTTGGTTTGTTGTGATAAAATCGAGGTTCAAATTGAAAGCTGTGGAACAGGGATTCGAGGAAGCCGATTTTGCAAGTTTACCCCAAGTGATCATGGAAATGGTGTCAGAATGGAATATTTAATCTCCAGTGCAATCTACTCCAGTACCGCAGATTTTAATGTAAACATGCTTAATCTCGACAGTAACATTTCAAATTCACTTTTGAATATAATCGGAGCATTTAATCTCAAACAAATTATTTCTGAGCCAACAAGGATAACTAACACATAGGATCGACTCTAATTTAGTTTTTTGCAATTTTAGTGTGAATAGTTCTGGAGTTGAAGATATTGAAATCTCTGATCATATGCTCGGTTTTTGCGATTTAGAATTGGGCGAAACAAAGGCAAAAGCTTACAAATTTTATTTACAGACATTATCATAACATAGATATGGTACAATTTTCAAACGATATTGCTAATCTTCCATGGGAAGTAATGTGATGGGGGATATAGAAGATAAAGTAGGTAATATTTTCTACAAATAGTATCTTTAATATTCATGCGCTGTTAAAAAAAGTTAAGGCAAAAAAAGACCATATCAACCCTGGATTACTCCAAATATTTGGTATATGCAGACACTCAGGAACAAAGCTTTTAATAATTTCAAGAGTACAAAAAGTTCTGAGCACTGGCAGTACTACAAGGAACTTCGCAACTTAACAACTTCTGCAATAAGAGCGGTATGGAGAGCTTACTTGAATTTCAAATTTAACAACTGTACCCAGGAACAGAAATGGCAGGAGTTGAAGAAAATAAATGTTTGCTCAGAAAAAATTCAACAAGTATTTTACAGAAGTTTCCAAAAATGCGAATACGCCTAATGCAGAGCTTATTTCATTTTACAATAATAACAGGTTAACTGAACATGTGTTCTCTTTTACTCTTGTTTCAGAGGAACTTATCATGGATGTTTTGAAAAGTGTTAAAACTAAAGTTTTTGGCTATGAATATCACGTTTATTTTGCCCTGCTGTCCGGTGATATTACGTCCTTTTACACACATTATCAACACCTGTATAGAAAATTCGTACCTACTTTCCTTGAAAATGGAAACAAGCGAATGTTCTTCCTCTCAGTCAGTTAAGTTCTATCTCCATTTTACCTACTCTCTCAAAAGTTCTAGAGAAAATTATAGAACTTGGAACTGCAAATGATAACATTTTCAACAATCAGGTTTCAGGGCTGGGTATAGTTGCTCCACTGCTCTCTCTAGCGTGACAGACGATATAAGAAGGGGTTTGGATTGTAATAGGGCTTCAATTTTAATATTGCTGGATTTCACAAAAGCGTTCGACATGCTTAACCATGAAATACTAATGTCAATTTTAAATTATGTTGGTTATGGTGATGCTTCCTTATAGTTGGTTATATCTTTTCTTTCTAATAGAGTACAAAAAGTGGTTCTTGATGAAAACACATCTGATGACCTTGAGGTGACATCCTTAGACCCCTATTATACACTGTGTATACATCTCGATTTAAGAAATCGTTACGCAACTGCAAATGTCATATGTACGCTGATGATACCCAGGTATATCTAACTTTTGATCCAGCTAATATTGATCTTGCTAATGACTGCATAAATGCAGATCTAAATAATTTATTTATTGAAACCTAAAAACATCTCAAGATCAATCCAACTAAGTCAGTGGGCCTTCTTTCTAGTAATGAAAGTGTTAGAGAGAGCATCCTAAATAATATTAATATACGACTGGATCAGAACCAAATAATATTTAGAAATTCAGCCAAAAATTTGGGGCTGGTATTGGAAATTTTGACAGGCACGTGACTGGGTAGGACAATTTCATTTATAAATCACATGCCTGTCAAAATTTCGGAGCAAATCGACGAAAAAGATGACAAAAACGAACTCGGCTTGGGTAATGGAGGTTTGGTAGCTTCTTGTCTCTTTCTGTCTCATGTCTAAATAAACATGTCAAAGTCAAAATGTACCAAACGTCCTCCCACTGAATTCAGATGAGACTGTAAAGCTACGTCACTCACGTACCAATTGGTTAACCATTCGCCTACCAAACAGCAGATGAAAATCTGGGGCGAAATGTGTACTGGGATTTGAGTTAATTCTGAGTTGAGGAAAGTGTCATCCAGCCAGGTTTCGGGTAATGCTATTATTTCGAAGTTACATGCGGACGTTGATCTCATAATAGGGAGTTTTCGTTGCTCTTGAAAACTTCAACACTACGGTTAACGAATACGTAGCCATAGCCGCTATTTAACAGATAAAAAAAACAGTTTTCGGAGCAAGAAACGGCACTCGCTTACCGATAACGTAAACTATAAATATAACCCCAAAAAAAGCCAAGTAAAGTTGACAGCGTAGCCCCCAGCCTCGTTTTAATTTGGTTTTTGTAGATCCTGTTTTTGTTTAGTTCTCATATAGATTTATTGTACTACTGTTTTCAGTACATTTTGCTACAAAATGATAGACGAATTAATTTTATTGGACCCGGTGAAAAATTTCACCACCTAATTTTCACCTGCCTCACTCGTTTTGTATTCTTGAGTTGTGGGTGAATTTACTTGAGGTGAATATAAAATAACACTTTGGTAACGTCGGAATATAGCCTTTTTAGAAGGAAAATTGCTAAGGAAAATTGAAAACGCCTACAATTCTTAACCTTACTTTTGTGGGGGCTTTTTTTTCCGCAAACGTCAACGCGTCAACTGACCGGCGACCGCAGCAATAATTTGTTTTCGAAAAATTTAGGCATAAACTATTGCTATTTTGCCGTGTAAATTCAACAGTTGAAAGAGATGTCTAAGAAATATTGTGGACATGCAACCACGAAGCAAAAAGAACATCTAATTGAAGTTGTGAATGATGACGAATTGAGAAAAGGACGATTTTCAGATTCTTGTACAAAAAACTTTACAAAGCTGATATTCTTGTTGGAGCTTCTAGAAAAGGATCTTAAATTTCTATAAGAAGGCGAACAAGAGGTTTGGTTAACCTGAATAATTTCTTGAATAAAAAATCTGCATTTCAAAAGGATTTTCTCGTCTATAGCTACAGCAAATAAAATAAAATAAGATAACATAAGATAAAATAACAAATACATACCTAATGCATTTCTTATTTTATTTGTTATTTTCTGTATAAACACTTTGAGGGTATCTCATGAGGTTAACTGTTATTTCTCATTTGTTATTTTATCTTATTTTATTTTATTTGCTGTATAAATCCAGCTTATGTCTCATTCTATTTCCCTCGCCAACCGCTGCATCATCTATGATATCTCCAATTTCAATTAGGTTCATTAACAATAGCTTGTTTTCCATACTTTATAATATAACAATTAACAATAGGTTCACAAGCCAGTTATTTTATAGGAAATAGGAATTAAAATACAAAATCAGAGTACTCTGACAAAATAGTCAATAATTATTGACAATAAACAATTACAAAACAAATTACAAAGTGCCGAATTAAGGTTAGAAATGCACGTTTTCACCGAAATTTGTAACATTCACCACCCTTTTCGGTGGTGAATCTATTCACCCAATAAAAGGTGAAAATTTTCACCTTTTTTTTTTCAAGAATATGATTATGTAAATTTTTGGTGAAAGCTAAGCAATTCCACCCGGTGAATATTTTCACCACTTTCAAGAATTAAGCCCCAGAGATGATTCAGATTTTGATTTTGAAGAGGCAATCTTGTTGGAAGTGTTGGAAAACAACATGAAATACAGAGGCGATCTTTAGTGGAGGTTCAACCTAATTGTTTGCCCAGCGGATCTGAGTCTACGGAAGGAATTCGGACGTAAATGTGCCATGTTGCCACGTTTAATTATAAAAAAGCGAAAATAGTAGGCATAAAGTATAGTTAATTTGAAAATCCATTTTTTGATAACAAAATATTGATAACAATAATAAAACGCTAGATATTTTAACGTGGTTGTTAGACCTATCCTTATTTTAATCCTGATTTC